ATAAAGCAACTCTACCATCACTGGATTTTCGGGTACTTGGCGTCGTCTGTCAGCACAGAGCCTGAAGATGACGCTTCTTTCGGTTGCTACAACACATATGTTTGGGAGGAGAGTTGGTTCTATGGTCACATGTGTGAGTGGCTAAATTTTCTGATTGATTTTGCCCTATAATTACCGCGGTTGACGGTTGTTTTGATGATCGTTCGTTGATCCGTCCGTTGTGGTGCTTGGAATGTATAGGAATGGTTGTTGTGACCTTCGCCTATTGAACTACATCAAAAGTATCGGAATGAGTTGTCGCGCACGCCCGCACCATCCTCGCACGGGTCGGCTGGTATCATTAATTAAAATGTCGATAAGGGCGAGTTGGCGTGCGAGTGTGAATCCCGACCCCAACCAATCGACCTACCGTCGTCGGCCATAATCAGATGGAAATGGTCTCCACGCACTAATGGATGCGTCTTTAGCTCATGTTGGATGGATGTGTTGTTTTTGTGTCTTATGGGGACTTGTTGTAACTTGGAGGACCGTGGTAAATGTCTAAAATTAACCGAATATTTTGACCCGCTCATTAGTAGGGTGAGGTAGGGCAAGATGGGTCATCTACTTGATTTATTAATCTTTTTGTTTGTAAACATCAACAGCATCAAGGTAGACCCAATGCTGGTTTCAATAAGCAAACCATCATTGGGTTTGCATTGAATCTGTTGATATTGACAAACAAATAAATTAATAATCTTGCCCCACCTTACCCTACGTTGGTGAATGTGAAATGTGAGATGAGGAATGTGCAGTTAGGTGAGAAATGTGGTAGAGCAGGTGTTACTAGCGCATCAATTATATGTTTATAAATACAAAAAAGCAGTTTAATCCAATTGCAGAAATCTTACATTTTTATTTGAACCGGTCTGCACGATTGATTGCATAACAAGAATAAATAAGCTTTAACTGAAAAATAATAAATTTTGTCTATTTCGTACCGATTCAACCAACGCCGCCCTTGAATTCCGTTCTCAAAATCAATTCGTTCGCCACAAATTTCGGTATACAATAGCATCCATCGAAATTAATCATTTTATCAACTTTGACCCACTGCCACTATTTCTTAGAAACTCGGAGCCTTACGCTACATGAAACACCCTGCAGCGAAACAGATGCCAAGATTGGCTTTGCGAGGAGTCATTAATTTAATACAAAGGTACATAAATCCGCTAGACTCCCCCGTTCTTTAAACTGGTGCGTTTGCGTAGTCTTCATGAACACAACCTACAGCAAGACCGCCCAAAACCCAGAGGTCACCAAGTCTAATCTGCTGCATAAATAACAAATTGGTCAAACTATCTTCGTGATTCCACTCACCGCTGCTTCGCTGCTAATTAAAGTTTTATTAAATAGACCACGTGGTTGCTGCTGAAACCATAGTTCGTAATCATGCGGTTCAATGTCACCGTTAAATCATTTCTTCTGGGTATTGGAGGTTACAACGTTCACCGCAGGTTCACGCAGCGAACGGTTAAATTTTTTAATGTCAAGCCAGAATCGTATTTTCGTTGATTTTCTACGTGTTTTTTTTTTCCTGCAGAAGTGAGCTTCACGCGGATGCATTCGTCATTCAATCGAGATGCAATATTTATTTACAAGCTACGCGCGTAGGATGTTTATTAGGGTGGTCACAAGTATGGATCTTGTTGCACACAGCGCTGTCAATTCCTAATCAGGTAAGATCATCCTTAAAAAGGAGAACTCATCTGGTTGCAACATGAAAGTGCACTTGTAATTTGAATAATTTGAACCACCCTAATGTCTATAGTGTTTACTCCGTTGGCACCCATGACACTTGGGATAACTGCAGCAGGCCTATAACAAAAATGTGTTGAAATTTTGTGTAATGGAATTACGTTCACCTTTCTTTTCGATGGATAATCCAGCGTTCAGAACTGGATGAGGTAACGGTTAATCGGTGTTAAGATATTTATATTGAAGCATCGAAACGATGGGAATGTCTTTTATTTTTGCGAACGAAGTTACTAGCTCAAGTCTCACGTCAATTGCATAATATTGAAATCAAAGTGATCCTTTCGTTTTTTTGCTCACCCAATTTGGTGGGAAAGTGTATCAACAGACTTATAGCAACAATCAATACGAAACTAACGATTTTAAATTGGCTTACTACTTGACTAGCCTATTGGTCCCAAGCAAATCGATTAACGTACCCCATTCTAGTCGAAATTCTAGTAATACACAATGTTTGTTTTGATTCGCTATGAAATTTTGACAGATAAAATGAGGGGTTAGTCGATTTTCCTATGTATCGAGGGGTGCATCGATTAGCTTGGGACCGAAGATAGTACCAGAGCTGAGCCAAAAAGTTGAGCTCGTTTCTTCGGGACCTTCTGGTCTTAGAGTTATCTCTATGGTATAACCATAGAGGTAACTCAAAGACCAGAAGGTCCCGAAGAAACGTGCTCAACTTTTTGGCACAGCTCTGGTACTATCTTCGGTCCCAAGCTAATCGATGCACCCCTCGAAACATAGGAAATTCCACGAACCCCCCATTTTGTCTGTCAAACTTTCATAGCGAATCAAAACAAACATTGTGTAGTACTAGAATTTCAACTAGAATGGGGTACGTTAATCGTTTGCTTGGGACCAATAGGCTAGTCAAGTAGTGAGCCAATTTAAAATCGATAGTTTCGTATTGATTGTTGGTATAACCATAGAGGTAACTCTAAGACCAGCAGGTCCCGAAGAAACGTGCTCAACTTTTTGGCACAGCTCTGGTACTATCTCCGGTCCCAAGCTAATCGATTCACCCCTCGAAACATAGGAAAATCCACGAACCCCTCATTGTATCTGTCAAACTTTCATAGCGAAGCAAAACAAACATAGTGTAGTACTAGAATTTCTACTAGAATGGGGTACGTTAATCGATTTGCTTGGGACCAATAGGCTAGTCAAGTAGTGAGCCAATTTAAAATCGTTAGTTTCGTCACAGACAAACAGACATAACTCTCACAATGTGTTCATCCAACACGCATTTAACGGTCAATTAAAATGTTTTTAGTTGGTAGCACAGCCACCTGTGGCGCGCATAGTCAATTCCCTTGCGTTTGACGTTTACACACTACCGCCATCTGTTCAGCGTACTACCCATCACAGTATACTCAACAGATGGCGGTAGTGTTTTAGCGACGATGTTTTATACACTCAAAGATAAATTAAATCAAAAAAGCTTAAAAAGTATGCAGTTTCCCGCTTCACCTTATTGAGTCCGAGCCATGATTACTTCGGCAGTAGTCATGCATGATTAAATTCGAAATAATCTTTCCAGTATTAAACTTTATTCTTTTTCAATACTGATATATAATCAAAAAAGATTATAATTCAATAAAAAATTATTAAAATAGAATCAAAAATGATTAAAATTTATTCAAAAACAGATAATGTACAATCTAATCAACCATGATTAAACTGGGATTAACATCAGATGCTTATTTTTAGAAAGAGAGGATTAATTTTTAATCATACGATATGATTAAACTGAGTTTAATGTCAAATTGATTAAATTTCAAGCAAAATGGGAATAGTTCAATTTATCAGTGTAGTGAAAAATATTCAATGTGTTATGTCTGTTTGTCTGTGGTTTCGTATTGATTGTTGGTATAACTACTCAGTCTGGCCAGCATTTTACAATCGGATCGAAAAGCTCTGATAAGTTGATCATGGCTATTTAGTACCAGGTAGTTTTGTTCCTTATCGCAAAATATTCGTATTCCTTCATCGTATATTTTTATATTGGCATTAGGGTGACCATTTCCATATAAGGGTGGTCCGAAAATTGTTTTTTTATTGATGACTACCATGCGAAAATAGTTATAGATTATTTGACTATGTTAGCTTTGTATCAATGGAGACGAATGGTAGTACAGTCGCATACGAGTATAGAGTGAAAACTCAAATCTTGATCACATCGTTGATTTTTTTTATATGTTCTAAGAAAGCCTAAGTTTTCTACGAAAAATATAAATAAACATATTGCGTACTCTGTCATCAAACCATGAAAACCATAAAAACACATATATAGCTAGAGCTGGAATTAAAGCGTAACAGCTTTTGTAAACAATGACTTCTCTCGATGATTTCTACAAAATCAAGGCACGCCTACGCAATCCAATACAACTATCGGGTAGGGGAAGTCTTCATCTACTCGATGATGATGTTGATCTGCGATGGCGAGCCTTGACTTCCTAGAAATCATCGAAAGAAGTCATTGTTTACAAAAGCTGTTACGCCCTAATTCCAGCTCTATCTAGATATACAATCAATGTTTTTCAATACATAATCCCAATTTACAATATTACTCCTAAAAGATAATTTTAATCCATTTTCTCTTGATATTTTGATCTTTGAAATCGGCCCAGTTATGAATAATACAAAGCCATTTTTGAAAAAAAATTAAAAAAAAAAATATTTTTTGAACCACCCTAATGACAAAATAAAAAAAAATATGGGTCTCATATTTTGCGATAAGGAACAAAACTATAATTTTTTACAAAATTCTGCGAACCACTATATCGTTTTGCTATGCTATTTACTATCAACAAATCCAACCTACTGGTCTAATGACTGCTTCTAGCCGTTACTAATGATATCATCACGATCGGATGACCTGTTATCACACATTGAGCGGACAAATCGACAGTAATTCATACAATTATCCTATAGATTTCATTTTCTAAGAACCGCAAAGGAGCACAATATTCTAATTTATTAAAATACGTGCAATAACTGCTCGGACTCGCCAGTGTTTAAGCTAGAAACCGTCAACTCAAATGAAGTTCCACAAAAATCCGAAAGAGGGCCAACGTTCGTCAAGTTTACACTCTTCTCAACTTGGTCACCCTAAAGTTTCGTTGTTTTTTTATTGCATCTTTTTTTCGTTTTTTTTCTCATTTCAGATGTCACTTTCTTGGCGATGCAACTGTCACTGTTGTAACACCCATCGTTCTTCGCGAGTGCAAGTTTCAGTATTTTTGTGCTTCAAAACGAATCAAAGGAAAAAAAAAATTCTCCGCAAGATAAAACTGTACCGTGTGAAAATGAAAAACTATTGCTTCTCTTTTATATCGTGCGCAGTTTTATAATTTGGCTTCAGATCTGTGTTAAGTGCCCGTGATCCCGGAAATAATCGTCCGAGTGTATGATTAAACCTGAGTTCGCTGTGCCAAAGGAAATTTTCCAAAAGTGAAATTGCATCTATTTTTCGTACGTTTTTCTGTGCTGTGTCCTATGACGAACGGATTCGATAATCCGACCGCTGTGTGCCCGGTGCAAACGCATCAGTGTGATATAATGGAAAGGAATGGGGAGAAGTGAATGATATTCAGGAATAGTGTAAACAGGTTGCAAGGGGCGGAAGCAAAGCGAAAGTGCATCTTAACTACACTCGTCGCAAGTTCACTGGAGATCATAATGTCCCAGAAGCATCGGCGGCAACAGCAGCAGCAGCATCAACAACAGCAACAGGAGTACCGCCGTCGAAGACAGCAG